TCACCTTATGCCGCCAACGAAAATTCTGTTTGGTATAAGCGTGCCATACTTTGGGGCGGATAGTGGGGCCTCAAGTGCCGCCGTCGGCGCTGCTCCGGCCGGTGCTGCCATCTTGTGCATTGGCTGTGGTTGTATTTTAAAATTTGCAAAGGGAAGAATTTTGACGGTTTTTAATCACTACCTTTGGGCTCAGAATATCCTTTGGATTTATGCGAATGACTTGTGGTTTCTTTTTGTTTTTATTTTTTTCCTCTTATGGTTTTTTGTTTTAGTATACACTAATATCTAGAGTGCGACAACCAGTATAATCACTCGCAGTTTATTCGCTATAAATTGCTTTTTTGAATGAATCAGATCAGTTCGCTCTATTTATTTGACTATGCGACTTTATTCTCTTTTAAGTACGTGGGCCAAGGCTTGTGGCTGCTTTGAGCTTTTTCGGCGTTGGAGAGTGCGGTTGACGCTGTCCTTGAAATATTTTATCTATTTTTCCTGGGTTAATGAAAATCCGGCTTTATTTCTCGATTAACACCAAATCGGATCTATGATCTCTTTTATTACAAATTCTGAAATACACAAATAAAAAATTAGCAATTATTGTTTGTTGTATGACAGGAAAAATTYTATTTTCCACAAGTCAATATGCTCGTTTATTATTTTCTCTTAGTGTCAGAAAATTTACGTCTCAACAAGGGTTTCAAAAATGTAGTCTTCGTAGTATTACAAAAACTACATCTATTATAGAGGAGTATATAAAAAGTATGTGTTTTATTATTTATTAGCAGCGAAGATCGTGCAGAAGAGTACGGAACATAGAGAATATACATATGCAGTAGCTTGGTAGCTTGTAGACGTGTCTAAAGCTCAATAAGACGRAGGAAAATTATAGTGAAATTAAATGGGCATGTCGGCAAATTTTAGGAGATTACATGGTTATATGATATAAATCCTCTCCAATATAAAAGGACAATAATGAATACTTTTTGATTTTGAAGGTTAAATTGTACTAAAGGTAACTTGAATTACTGATAGTGAAGATAAATAAATTAAGAAGAGAAACTGTATGGTTTTGTAATATATACAAATTTTTCGGTTGGAAAATAAAATTTTTTTTATTGTGAAGAATCGTGTGGAATTTGAACCAAAATGTCTTTAATAAGCCCCAAATAATTCAAATAATAAGTAACCACCTAAGAAAAATTATATACATATACTATACTTTGATTTACTGCAAATTATTTGAAAGATGTGAAGAGCGCTCGCTATACTCTGTCGCATGTGACTGCTCGAACACATAATTATTTACAACAAATACAAAGCATATAAAAGGTAAATATATTTATATATGTAAGTATGTATATATATGTATACTATTTATATTATTACACAAAATATCTGAGACTACGCTCTTTTATACGAAATACCTCTTCACATATTCAGAATATTCTTAAATACAAAAGATCTAAAAACGTAGCCGATTCGATTTCTGTTATATGTAGATACATATACATATATGTATATATGCATGTTTGCATGAAAATGTGGATTTATCTGCTGCTTCATGTTATTTTTTGTATAGTTGTTTTTGAAAACCATTTTTAGCCTATAAATAAACGGAAAAAATGTATGCACGAACTGTATTCTCACACGCCAACAGGGGACACAGTGACAGAAAACACTAATGATTTGCCGGTCTAGGTATATTCCCATCTACAAATATACAAAAATCTACTATACACGAAAAAATATATGAATAAAAAAATAATAATAATAAAAAACAAAGAACAAAGAACAGGAGATCAACCGAATTCTTATTGAGAGGTGCTCACGTACTATTATTTTTTATGTAAAATAAATAAATAATCTATTTATCAATAAAGTGTTTTGCCACGTATTTTCGACTAATATCATTCAGAACCATTGTCCGTTCCCACAACAATCGGGTCTAAGCAACCAGAACGGACTCGAATTTATACCCGCTCAAGGACTGTAAACTCGGTATCAGGCCTCGAAATTTCTTCAGGAATGTTGTCAGTCATATTAGCATGTGGCGTGCTAGTATGGGAGAAAATAATTTTCAAGACTTATAGTGAAAATACATAATTGCCAAAACGAATTTAGACCTCGAAGTATTCGAAATACTAATCACGTGGAAAGTATTTGTTCTAGCAGAGCACTAATCCACTACTGACAAACGTGGCGTAAATTTGGGTCATGAATTTTTTCGACGCATTAAATAGGTAGGATTGACATGTATAGCCGTCCAGAAACTGTGACATCAGCAACTTCCCCAATGAAGTTTTTAGCAATTTTAGTTTGCTAAACGCCAACTGAAGTAACAATAACGACGATTATTACGATGGCACATATGTACATATAAAAGGTTTGCTTAAATGCAACGTGACCATTGTTTAGAAAACGTTATTCACAGATCTGCAAATGTGATCACTTCCACGAATGACGATGTATGTAACTTGCTTTCAAAATTACGTAGCGAACCAATAATGTAATACCTCGGGACAACCGTGCTAATCAAAATCGTTGGAAGAAATTATTCTTGTACATCGATTCTCACTCCTCACTTCGTCAGGAAGGAAAATTCGGTGCACGAGTATATATTCCATTAAGCTATTTTTGGCTTGCTGCGACATATGGTATGAAGAAAATACGTCGCAAGACATCGCTTGTACACAACTACGTATGCTTGTGTGTTTATGTATAAACATACATATGTACATATTTAAGAGTTTTATATACGGCTGCGAGTGATTTTTAGTATGTGTTGCTTAAAACATGCCCAATACACTTACAAATCGTATGAGACTGTCTGCATTCTAAAAATTCACCTTTGGCGATTCTACAAAAACTGAAAACCAAAACAWTCTGCTATTGCACAATGACAAAACATAGATGTTTCTTTCTTCTATTCTATTCTACATACCATAAAAATAAATAAATATATAAGCTTTTATACATATGTACATACATACATAGGTATATAGACAAAAGCATTGAATTCTGGGCTTCGGTGAATATTTTTTAACGASCTCCTTTCATGCATGTCGCCGATTGGGCTTGTAATTTTCTATATGAAAGTGAAAATCGTGAAACTTCAGCGCCYATAATATGATCATAAACAAATGTACGAATAAATTTTGTACGCAATTTATGCATCGGTATGTCGATATATGTACATACTATATGTACGCAGCTCTAGGTATTAGGTATATTCAATGATCAGAGAATATATACAAATATCTAGAATGAAAATCACATTGTTGTRTGTACGTTTTTGAAACTAAATAGCCGTAACTCCAATCGAAATGAAAACAAACCGTAAAGTACTTGTATATAGAATCATTGAACCGTGGAAAAATGCTCTGAACAATAATTGCACTCCATTCTTTAGAAATAGCCGCATCGAGCCAAATAAGGTTAGTTAGTTCATACAYATATATATTACTGCCGTTAATTGATTTATGCACACACATATACACACAAGTATTTTATGTAGYCAATCTAAAATAGTTTATCCAAATAGAAATTTTTGAAATAACTAAATATATTTTCATACTCTTGCAACATGTTACTACGGGGTATATGGTACATATATCATYTATAATATTTTTGCTCAACGGTTTTTTATATCGTCTTAAACTAATCGAGTTAGATATARGGCTGTATATACATATTTATATATAAATGATCAGGATGGCGGGRCRAGTTGAAATCCGGGTGACTGTCGGTCCCTTGTTCCGTGCAAACTGTAACTTCAATAAAAGTTGGGACTGGATGAAACTTGGTATGTGCTTTACTTGCCAAAAAAAAAAAAAACCAAAAAAAAAACGAGTTCGTTGATGAGAGTAATCGGACCACTACCGCGCCCACATATAGCAATAATTGTAAAATTACTAAAATTTTCATTAATCAATAACTAAATACAACAGAGATGGTATGACACAGCACACTTTTTGGCAAAATTACATATCTGGGGACCCAACCGAATGATTTCGACTAAATGCAAAAATATCTTAATAAAATAATAAAATTCTTATAACGGTGCCCTTGAATAAAACTGGATGAAAATTCACTCTAGACTCCATATAACTAATAAACATTTTGCACTTGAAGGTACTTTCCTGGCTTTAATCCTTGCAAATTGCARGGGTAGGAAATGTTCGGTTACACCCGAACTTAGCTCTTTCTTATGTGTTTTATATTTTAGATGAATTTTTTTTTAACTTTTTCACTTTGGAACAGTTAATCCTCACATCTGCGCTAACATAGCTGTGGTCCCTTAAATGAATTTACAATTGCCAGCAGTTTAGAAAATGTGTTGAAGTGTGGATGAGACAATGGCCACTTCGTAAGACGTCGTCATATTTAAATAGGTAATTTAAAGCATTGAAATATAATGAGAACCACCGAATGTAGTTACCAATTACTTCTAAACTAACTCAATTTTCCACAAACATTTTCAAATCGCATGATACAAAACCAATGTACATATGTACATACATATGTATGTGCACCGGAAGATGTAAAAGTTGGCGGGTATAAAATTTGATTTACACGTGAATTAACCACAATTAGTCATAAAGAAAAATAAACTAAGGTCGAAAAGAATTACTTTTCATTATTTCATTATTTCGTGTAGAATGCCACAATGATTTAAAAACAATGTCGAACGTCACCGTCGASCAAAAAATACATCAATAACAGACAACCGTATCGTTATGTCGCTAAAAAGAACGCATTCATATTTTCAAGAGTGATTTCAGGCGATATTTGTAATAAACCTGGCAGGATAGCGARAAAAAGTTTACAAAAAGGACCGTTGAACATGTTGACAACAAGATGMGAYCATATGCTAACGAAAGTCCAGCTTTTAAAAGCTTTTAATTTCCTCTTTTAATTTGTATTACAAATATCTGTGTTTCTTTTATTTAAGTGATAAAAAAAATGAAATGTTACAAACTTTCCTTCCAAACATGAATAAAAGTGAATTTAAAGCCACACGGGTTTATGTACTTATTATTTTGACTATGGTGAACTATATATACCCTGTTTCTCACGAAGTTTGTAACACCCAGAAAGCAAGGCTGTAGACCCTGCAAAGTGTACCATATCATAAATGATCAGCGTGATGAGCGATGTTGAACACTTTTAGGATATAGTGCCATAYAAACTCATGGATCAAAACCAAGTCCTCGTGTATATTATAGAGCTTTATTATTTGGCAATATTATTATTGTCCAAGTCAGTCGTACAAACTCCGAATAAGTTACTTAGATTGGACAACTATTTYTTATTTAAAATTAATTTTATAGAAGTTATGAACGCTAACTTCATTCAGCATTAACCTTAATGTCGGAAACTTTTGCTTTTAGTTTACGGTTGAGCACGCTCTTAAAAAACGCATACACACATAAAAAGTAAAACGTTGCCTACAGTCAGGCGACCGCGAAGTGGAGTAGAGGTTTCAAATACAAACCGCGGCAAAAAAGGCAATTTCAACATTGTTGGACCGTTGCAGACAATGTCAAACYTCCGGGTATATTAATAATGAAGGAATCCAGTGTCGTATTAGCGGTTTGCTTGAATTTTATAGCCCGCTATGTGCAAGAGTACACCCTTTACTCGATTAGGTAATGCACACACACAATTGCCGAAAGTTTTCCTCCTATATACCACACTTTTTTGGATAACTACAAAAACAAAAMAAAAATATTTCAAGTTTTCATTAACTGCTCTTAGAATTCCTCTTGCTAAAAGTAAGCGCAAGTTATGAAGGAAATAAGAGAGTTTGCAGCTWAATTCTCTTCTGCATATGCGAATAGTACCACACTAGGACATAAAGAGCGCGAGTTGCTCAAAGCCGTTTTGCCATGATAACAAGCTACAAGGACTTGTGAGTAGTAAATCATACGAGAGTTTCTCTTATATTTTGTTAATTGTAGCAATTGTAAAATGAGCGTATTCGTTTTGTTATCAGTACTTACTTAATTTTATGGACTACTTTTATATGAAACTACTTCACAACAAACAAAATTTTGTTCGGGACACTCTACTCTATACGATTTGGCGTGAATTGTTTAAATAGACTAATATATATAATATTAACATTTAAATAAACACATGTCCATGTATGAAGATACAGTAAATTATGGCTTTTTAATACAACCTTGGCTATGTAAAAAGCTGACAAATCATTACAAGAGGTGCAAAGGGGTCCTGTGAGATTCTATTACAATTTTTTCACGATTGCTACTAAATCATATTATTCCTCATCAACTTTTGTTACGGTAGTTTACACTCTGACCGATATTTACCGTGTAGTCACCAAAAAAAAAAAAAAAAAACTTTTTTTCTATTTAATGAATCTGGTTATTTTTTTTTTATTTTGCATATTGACTTTTACATTTAACAAAAATGGATAACTGATCCAGACAGTCATTACAGTCAATTATGCACAAAGATTTGGACTTATTCCCACATAAAATTCAAATAGCCCACAAACTGAACACTGCAGACTTGCTGACGCGGCCCATTTCGATTTAAACGGCAACATAAACAAACAAAATTGTCTAATATGGAGTGCTTCCAACCCACAGATACTCCATGAGACGGAATTGCATCCACTTCGTGTCACAGTGTGGTGTGCAGTTTCATCACGCTGCATTGTCGGGCCCTACTTCTTCGAAGAAAACGGTCACACCGTTACGGTTACTGGAGACCGTTACTTGAGCATGTTGAGAGAGTTTTTCTATCCAGAATTACGCCGAATGAGAATTTCTTTCAACTCTGTGTGGTTTCAGCAAGATGGTCCAGCTCCTCACATAGCCCAACCTGTTATGACAGAATTGCGAAGAAAATTTCCCAATAAGCTGATATCCAGAAACTCCACATTYCGTTTGCCACCCAGGTCGCCTGACCTTACTGCACCTGACTTTTTCTTGTGGGGTTATTGCAAACAGGAAGTCTACAAAGCAAAAGCAACAAATTTGAATGAACTAAGGCAATCCATTCGAGAAACAATTGCGGCTATTCCTGTCTCAACTCTCCAAGCAGTAATGAACAATTTTTTGGTAAGATGCCGTACATGTATCAACGAGCAGGCGGGCGTTTAAATTCCATTATTTTTAAAACTAATTAAGCTATATTTAATAAAATTGAATGAGCTTTAACATGAATAAAAGAAAAATGAATTCCATACACTGACAAAAAAAAAAAATTATTTGAGTTTCTTAATGTAGCAAAATTCATCAGCCACCCTGTACATTGATGAAAGTTGGTGGGTGTATGTGTTGTATGTAGGTGTATATAGTAGATACATATTCACTAAACACTATTTTGGAAATGCGGAAAAATTATATAGAATATACGGTGTATTTTGACTTAAATCCGTAATGTACATTATCAAGGTTAAAGCAAAAACCTTTTCCAATATGTTGTGCCATGGTAAAATATTCCCGAAAGTCATACCGAGATTGYCGTATTTTTGTTATCTTTAGTGCATATATGCATTTAACGCATTTAAAACATATGTACATATATCCATGAAGGTCGTGTGAAAATTTTAAATCGATCGGACCTGCCATTTCGGAGAAATTTTTCTTACCGAACATCAAAACAATGTTGCGAAAAACGCGAGTTTTAAGTTTTGAGAGCCCATTACACTAGTTAAAGAATTCACACTTGTATAAATACGCTCATATCTCCGAAACTAACATATTTTTCGAACCTACTTCAAAATTTAAAACAATATTTTCAGATATAAGTAAATACGATATATTATATTTAAAATAAACTGAAATTCACAAGTGGACATAATGTCTTTATGGAAAGCAGGAAAGATTAGATATGTATGTACGTATATTTGAGATTTTAGAGATTGACAGTTTGGAAACAGACGACAGAGGTATGCAGTAGTGTAACCACCAATAAGTAAGTCCTTTAAATTTTAATTCAATAATATCCAGTTAATACTCTTCGTTGCGAACTCGTAAAACAATCATTAATTGTAATTACTAACAATTTTTCAGGCTCTTAAAAGTGCAATAGGAGTATTCGAGAGCGTATAAGATAAGACTTTGAATTTCAACTGAARTCGAGAATCCAGCACACGTGGAAACTTTATTTATTAGGTGCATGATTTACAAATACTGTCTATCATTAACAATAAAGTAAGAAATGTGAAAACAGCAAAGCAATAAAGCGCTGCAAATCGTATAACAGAAATAAAGTGCCCCCTTAAAGCCACACATATCGAAAGTGAGGCTGAATGCAGGCAGATAATCACTATTTAAGCTTGCAATTTTTAATTTACTAAAAAAACAAGGATGCATTAAGAGGATACCARTCTTCAATAGGCTATCGGACATCCGTAGTATCTATGTATAAATGTATGTACTTATATSATTATTAGTACAAGTGTACGCAATTTTTGCTTTCTATATGTCGCCACAACCACATTGCGAACACGCTAACTCACTCAGTGGATGCTTTTTTGAATGCGATGAACATAAAAAAGAATTATCTCGAAAATGGCAATTTATTTATAAAACTTTAGTACATACTTCACACGTACACCCCACGGACAGATCTTCAAGACTCACGATGTGCATTTAAATGCACAAAAAACACACACACGCACACATGCACACATGCTTACACACTGAAGCGCATTTCACACATATGTCGATCGATGGGGTTCGAGCGATCGTTGGCCGAGCATTTTTTCATGCATGTGTCTGTATGTAGATTTGTACTTTAGTACACGTATTTAATGCATTTCGTTTTGTTACCTTTTTGTACTTTATTATACGTGTAGTACATGTATGCATATCTATGTTTATATCATGCCTTGATATATAATTATGTGCGTATGTGTGTAGAAGCAAGGTTTTTCTTTAAAGTATAGCGAAAAAATTTAGATATTTATGTGAAATGGAAATTAAATGCACTAATGCATGCTTACTCACATATAAATATATATTATACATATATATTTGTATGTGTGTGTGTCCTAAATAGAAAACATTTTATAGTACCTTGTGAAATGTATCCGTAAGATAGACGACGATCGCCTGGTGACCAGACCAAACACTTGGTTAAAAGCACAGAGTCACACACACGAAACGAACGAAACGACTGAATCTCACTTTGTTTCGTTATAAAAGCGGAGCGCCTTGCTGCTTCAATTTCAATTTTTAAGTTCGTGTTTATTATTATTGTAGTTGGTGTATGGAACAGAAATATTTGATTATTTCGAGCATTTGTCATTTAAAGAGTGCAATAATAACAATAACAACAGCGWAGTAGTGTTTCGGTAGGTGGGCAATAATAATATGGGGATGCACTTGCTCCAGATGCTTGCGACATCCATAAAAAGGTGCAGTTGCAATGCCAGATACATTTGCCCTAATATGAGCATAYATTTATATATGTGTATGTATRTATGAGCCATATACTAAGTTTATCTATGGGAATTGCCAAGTATTGACAATCAAGTACGCCTTGGCGCAGACGCCCAACAGAATTTGTGTCTACTTGTGTATGAGTATGCAAAAAGGAGGCAGAAAAAACGAGGTTTTCAATTTGCATAGCATGTGAAATTTCGTCAAATGAATTTCATAAYTTGCTTCTTTAGGGAAAACTATTAATACAACGCGTCAAAAGCAAACAAGGTATTTACTTTGAAAGTTGTGTGAGACAATTGCGCTTTTGCAGGACTGGTAAGATATTATGCGATCCTGTCAAAAAATAGAAAAAAAAAACTGCAGAATACATTCTCCTTTGGCACGCAATATAGGTATGTATGTACACATTTCATCCTGCCAAAACTCCTCCCTCGCATGCACATGTCTATATGTAGGCACGCTCTTGTCCTCTTGATATACACTACTAATCAGTATACACAAAATCCCATTAGCACACTGTGCTGTCACATACACAATATACAAGGAACAGATTTTTTATTTTTTTTTTAATTTGACACAATTCGCGCAAAACCTATACGATTCTTATAACAATTCAATATAATCCTTTTCGATTGTGATTTGCTTGTTGTTATTGTTATTTTTAACGGTCACAATTTGACTGTTGAATTGCAAAACAAAAAATAATCGTATGTAATAAATGTAATTTTCTTTGCCACATTCTGTATTTCCGTACTTTTCTTATTTCACTTTTTATTTGGTATTTTGTATATTTTTTATATATTTTGTATATATTACTTTTGGCTACTAAAGCTAAGGCAAAATAATAACTAACAACAAACTGGCACAGAAGTGTTGCAATCGACAGTAGAACAACGACTCAATCGGGTGAGAGCATATACGCAGCCAGCAACCAAGCGAACTAACCTGCCGTGAGAGCTGACGGCATTGAGGCAGTTAACAGACAGTGAAAATTTCTATTTCTAGCTTTCACATGTACACTTGTGTGCACGCTTGTTCGACTTAATGCTCCTGTGTCGAATAGCGGTGCAGAGCGTTAAGCAAGAAAGGCAATTCTCAAACAATATTGCTCACGGTAAAGAACAACATTTTTTGTGGTTTGCTCTCGCCGAAAATCCAACTCGTACCTACATGTGCACACACATGTGTACATTGGAGCAGCGCCCTACTCATTTTCACGACAATTTTCTGGTTACTACATAGTGGGAGAACAAACTCATAATACGCGTATCTCACAATCTCGGCAAGTCTCTGGTCGTATAGGCGGCTTTGWTAGTTATAATATATGGGTGTCGCAATGTCTGAAAGTATGTATATTTGTATGTATTGATGTGTGTATGCGCGACTGTGTGTACGCTTTTCCGCAAGCCAAAAGCTGGGATAAACTACCTATCAGTGTGGGAGGCGCRAACCGAAATGCCAAAGTTTTGGTTTTGCATGGAAATAATAATTGAAAACATTGGCAGTATGTTATGCATAAATGAATATTACCTTAAATGCCTACATATACGCACACATATCCACATACATGCATGCTTACTTTATAAAAATATACAAAAAATGATTTTCTACTGGCCTTGTGGGTATGACAATACGCCTACAAGCATTTGTATATACATCTATGTAAATATTTCGAAGCCTCAATGTGTGTTGTGTATACGTATGTATGTATAAGCAACCCCTGACCCAGTGATAGCAGTATAAATTCACTTTTCATTGTGATACGGAGATGGCAATGCAAATGAGCTAGAATATGAATAATAAAAACTGAAGCTAGCATGTATGTACATATGTGCGTGCATGTAGTCCCAACTGGAGTACCCAACGGGTTGATGTGAACGAAARCAATAAAAGTCAAGTGTAGTACGCCGCATGCAGCCACTCTGCTCGATGCGAATGCTCTTTTACTGGCTTTTCAAAACTYGGTTAGCGTATTTCAAAAGAGCCAGCATACGTACGTTTATATTTTTGAGTAAATATACTAATATACAGCGCTAGATATATTGTGCATAAGCATGTACATATGTGGAAACATGTGTTTCACATTAGTTAGCTTCTAGAGTAGCACTACGTAGACGCTTTGTTAACCTAATATCAAATTCGTTGCTGCTCACCAATTCAATCTCACCGACAGGAAAACATTGAATAATCATGAGAGAGTTGTAAATGAGTGTGGCTGCTAAGCGTTGCATATACGTGTGTAGCCACACTTCTATGCATATATGTATGTATAAAAGTAGTGCATAGGCATGATGTGAGCTGAGAGTTGACTTAATAAACTAAAAGTTTTATTATCTTTTTACTAAAGCATGTGCAATAATAGCCTGTGCGTGGTATATAAGTTTATAACTATTAATATGTTTGTATTTGCCATATGTATTTTGGCCGTTGTGTTAAAACTATTTTCAAAATATATACAATATGAAGTTTAAGTTTGAGGTAATCGAATAATCCAACATTCTCACTTGAAGTAAGGCCTGAAATACAATACATACATATATAAATACTTAGGCATGCACACTTATACATTTACATTTTTAAAGCCATTAAATAGAGCGAAAACAGCAAATCTGAAAAAAAAAACCCCAAATATTTATGTGTGTGTTATTACATAGCAGATACAAATACACAAGTGCWTATGAATATGTTTGCATCATATAATATATACTACTTTTCAAAAAAATTTAGGACAAGTTCGGATATCCATGTAGAATATTTACTACACAAGTTTAACTGGTAACCGTGAGACGAAAAGGTTTATCTAGCTGGTTTCAAAGCTCCGTAAAATAGGGTAYACGCAGTAATGCACACTCTATGGCGGTGTTAAATATTTATTAATTCCAAGAACTATATGTACTATGTATAATGGAAGACTTTTCTAGTGTAGTTGAAACTAATAAATAGATATGGTGTGGAAAAATACATAGAACTAGTGTAAAGATTACAATGAGAACAAGAGTTCTATTCCATAAATATCATAAATTACAATATGCAAGCGATTCTTCAACGGGGTTCAATTTATCGTTTTTTGGACTAAATTTCAAGAAACACTCTGAATTTTCTTTTAAATATTTATTAAATAAYTATATTATATAAAAACTTTGATCAGCATTTAGTGGCTGCTAATTAACAAACATAGACCCCTTTAAGCAAAAGTTCTTATGTTCAAGTGCATATCGGATTTCTTTCTTTTTAATAGCTTTCGCAGCAAAAAGTAAAAATTTCCCTTTCGCTCACTTTCTCATACTACATACTAATTGACTTATACATAGCATGCATATATTTTGCAGTTTCCGCCAATACGTGTAAGCTTCTCCTAACATCTTTAAAGCTCTACGCCAAAATGTAAACTCATATACATATATACGTATGTATACAAATGGAGTCTCTACAGAAAAAAGTATCAGAATTACAACCAACATAAAAACACATCCATGTAACTAGTCCGTACTCGCGGTTACAAGTTTTCTCTTTAACATCGCTCTTTGGATATCCCTGTCATTGCATCACCAATATCAAATCCTCCCACTTAAAATAGCAAATAATTACTGTTTCTCTTCGATCTCTTAGCACAGTAATCCAGTAAACTACCAACCTAATGACACGGAATAGAGATTGGACAGTTCGCGTGTCTGGTTGACAATTTACTCGGCGGTTCGTGTTCTGGTTATCAACTAACTTTATACAAACCTGTATCATGTGTATTTGAATTGCTCCATCAACATTTCAAAAGAACACTTCAGATACTATTCCACCCATATGTTTGTATGTGTGTGTGCGTAAATGTGCAAATTTAAATGACACTTTCGTTTATACAGGAAGAAAATCAGAATAARTATCTATTATCATTAAATGGTTAAAAGCAAGCTGTTTAAAAATATTTTAAAATTTTACCAAAAACCAAAATGTATCACTCACTATTTTTACTACTCAAGCAATAAATTAGAATGCCGGTACTTAGCTTGAAAACGGCCGGTGTAAGATSAACTGCATAAAAAACGCAATCGCAAATTATTAATGCGACTGAAACCGAATCGAGTTTACCAGCAATCAATTTCTCTTCTACACATTAATTATATTAGCAATTTCAAAAATATAAATGCAATTATTCTTTATGTAACATTCGATATGAATATTCAGTTTGTTAGCATAGCTATTATCTTATACATATCCTGGAATCCAAATACAGAACTATCAACGCAACTTTTACACATTTTACCAAGAAGACAACAATAACTTCTACGTAGATGGTAGGCGAAACAAGGCAAAGAAGAACGTTAGCAAAAACAACAATCACCGCGACTTACGCCACCAGCTTGACATAGTGACCTAATTCGAGATTCGATTACTGGTTTTCTCGGAACACATTTTCTTCACAGCAACTTAAGTTATGTTTATAGTTATGAAAAATTGAACGCCCGTTTTGCAAATTTCTCAATTTTATGTTAATTTCATTAATAAGTTTCTGACACAACTAGAAAAACGTAAAGTAAATCAAATAATTTCCCTGCATGTGACCACTTACCACGAAATTCTGAATGTATAATTATTTATAGTTTCTTCCAGTGTTTGTTGGAAAATTTACTGCGCACAATGGTTGTCAAACTTTTATTAGAAAATATCTTCAATAAATCCTAGGATGCTCAATTTTTTTCTTCTGAAAACACAATTATAATTGGAGCAGCAAGTTATGTTATGATCTCGTATTGTACACTTTTGCTTAATTCTTTACCTCTTCAGTATTTTCCCTTTGTTTCTGTACTTTTGACATTTACCCAAAATTGTGTTGCCACTTTTACACGGGAGTTATGCAATGATTTCGCCAATTGTGCTATTTATTGTGAATTAATTTTCTTTTATATTTGACGATCAGTCATTACTATAATAACTATTTAATGGATTTTGCTACACGATTTTGGTATTGTCTTGTATATAATTTCTAATTTAATAAATATCTTAAAAAAGTTAGTGACCTATCCTATATGTAGATCTCATGTTACATTTACAACGATTTAGAGGAGTGTGCATCACCCTATTTATCAGCTGCTTTTAGACTTTTGTAATTGAAGACTTTTATTTTTTCACATTATACATTTTTAAATGTAAAATGCAATCAAAACTAAAAATTTCACGTGTTACAAATAAAGGATTGCATTTTTTGAACAGCAGATATGAAGATAAGTTTTCATTTTATCAGAAACACACATTTGCAGGTACTGTCATATTAGTTTTCATAGACAATTTAAATTTTAAAAGTAATGATTTGTTTTAGCGCTTCCGCCATTAGCCACAGGATATAACCCAGCATCTGTGGAGCAAGACAAATATGTGTTTCAAAAAACACAAAAACATTGTGGTAGTAAACACGGTCCATATCGGATGCTCCTTCCTCCACCGAATGTAACAGGAAATCTGCACTTAGGACATGCTTTGAATGCGACTTTACAAGATGTTATATGCCGTCAGCAACGGCAATTGGGGTATGAAGTAGAATGGATCCCGGGCACGGATCATGCGGGCATTGCTACACAAGTGATTGTGGAAAAAAATTTGTTTAAAGAACGTGGMATTACACGACACCAACTCGGGCGCACACCATTTTTGTTAGAGGTATGGAAATGGAAACGAAAAAAAGGTGACAGGATCATAGAAGATCTGCGTAAACTAGGATGTACGCTCGAATGGGATAGTGAATACTTTACCATGGATGAGGTATATATTTTTAATTTCCAATTGTAAGAAGAAATTTTAAAAAGTGTATTATTTCCGTTGGCAGAAACAATCACGAGCTGTCAATACAGCATTCATTCGTCTGTTCGATGATGGTCTCATTCAACGACACAAATCGTTAGTCAATTGGTCTTGTGCGCTAGAGTCTGCTATCTCCGACATCGAGGTAGACTTATTAGAGCTAAGTGGACCCACTACACTARCTGTGCCAGGTCATAAAGCCAGTGTGGAATTTGGAAGATTGTACGATATTAAATATCGTGTATGCAATTCAAATGATGAAATAACAGTTTCGACAACGAGGCCAGAAACTGTGCTGGGCGATGTTGCAGTGGCTGTACACCCACAAGATCCAAGATATGAAAAATATCGCAATCAAGAGCAAGTTTTTCTCGACCATCCTTTTCGTAACGAACAGATTCCTCTGGTTTTCGATGTCAAAGTAGACCAGAACTTTGGCACTGGTGCCGTCAAAATCACTCCCGCCCACGATCGTAATGATTATGAAATAGCCAAACTACATCTTCTGGAACCCATACAAGTATTCACAGAACAAGGGACTATTACAGATAAATTTGAAGTATTTAAGGGTTTGCCTAGATTTGTAGCACGCGAACGCATTTTGGATGAACTCTCAAACCTTCAGCTGCTGGGGGCTGCCAAACCACATGCCATGGTATTACCCATCTGCTCGCGTTCAAAAGATGTGGTAGAGTACATGTTGCGACCGCAGTGGTTTTTGCATTGTAAACCCTTGGCGGAGGCTGCCATCTCCGAAGTGCGAAGTGGTCGAATGAAAATTCAACCTGAAAACTTCGAGATCGATTGGTATCGATGGCTTGAATCATGTCGAGACTGGTGTATTTCTCGTCAATTGTGGTGGGGACATCAAATTCCCGCCTACTTSGCTACAGACATTGAGAGCAACACCTGCTGGGTAGCTGCACTAAACACAGAAGAAGCYACAAAACTTGCTAAAACGAAATTAAATGCAGAACTTCGGAGTGTGGAACGAGATCCGGATGTGTTGGATACATGGTTTTCCTCATCACTGCTGCCCTTCTCTGTATCCAATTGGCCCTCGTCGGAGTATAAAAGTCGCTATCCAATGGACTTAATGGCAACAGGACATGATATTCTATTCTTTTGGGTGGCTCGTATGGTAATGATGGGCGTAAAGCTAACAGGTGAGGCGCCATTTAAGAGAGTACTCTTAAATGGTATTGTGTGCGATGCACATGGTCGAAAAATGTCGAAAAGTCTTGGTAATGTAATAACGCCAAACCAAGTTATACAAGGCGCCAGTTTAGAGGTAACTGCCATTAAAAGGTTTTATGTATTTATTATACTATTTAATTTTTATTATAGGASCTACAAAAAGAGATACAGGCCTCTTATGATGCGGGCATACTAAGTCAAGATGAATTGAAAAAATCCCTTAGAGGGTTGCAAAAAATGTTCCCGCAAGGCATACAACAATGCGGCACAGATGCACTTCGTTTCACTCTATGCAGTCACAATATAAAAAATCATTTTGTCAACTTCGACGTGGCCGAGTGTTACACCAATAAACTATTTCTGAATAAAATCTGGCAGGCAACTAGATACACCATTGGTGCGGCTGAAAAGCTGAATTTATCTCTTACGGGTATCGAAACTATGGGAAATTGCCCACTAAGCAAATGGGACCGCTGGATACTCAGTCGTTTGGCAGATACTTTAACAACAGTTAGTCAAAGTATCGAGAAACACGACTTCCACTTGGCCACAGCAGCGCTTAAACAATTCTTTTATAATAACCTGTGCGACGTTTATCTGGTGCGTATGCATTTCAAATTGTTGGAGTGATTTTAAAAGCATTTCCGTTATAATAACACTTTTGATTTGCAGGAAACCACAAAACCAGCAATTAATGAAGGTACGGCAAATGGTTACATTAGTTGTGCTACATTGGCGACTTGTCTAAGCTGGGGYCTTCAAGCAATGTCCGTGTTTACGCCATTCATCGTCGAGGAGTTGCTGAAATATTTGCCACGTGGCATACATCTGCACTTGGGTAGGTACTTTAATGCTGATGTGGAGGGGGAAATTGAGGTGATATTGACAATCTGTCACGCCGTGCGGCAGCTGAAGAGCCAAAATAAAATATCGAAAAAGCATGAACCATGCCTGTTTATATTCGTCTCTGATCCAAAGGCTCTTGCTGAGCTTGAATTGCATTTGAAGCCAATAAGCGCCCTGACACTAACCACAGAGGTATTTGTGGAACTTTTAACGCCGAATGAACTGAAGTTACGCAGGCTGTCGTTTCAGTTCTTCTCAACTGCGGGACATCACTGCTCTTTCGGTAATTAATTTTTAATAAAAAAAATCCTCCGCCGCAAATACTTATTTCATTAATTGTGTTGCTTTTAGGTTTGCAAGTAAATACAGTTTATGAGCAAACGAGAAAAGTAGTTAAACCCAGTCATGAACTGAACCAAAAAAAACTGGATCGCCTGCAAGCAGAACTGGAGCGCTACCGTATGAGAATCAATGACGAAGGCTTTCTGCGCTCGGCTAGTGAGCAAGTGCAAAAGCGACACAACCAAAAGGTATATGTGTCAGCATTTTTCTTTGAATGTCTATTAAAACTTCTTTTTTTCAGATTCAACAATTAGAATTAGAAATAAAAAATATTCGAAATTTGACCAGTTAAAATATGTTAAAAAAGTTAGGAAAATGTATAAGGCTTTGTTAAGTTAAACTTTTTGTTGTTGCCTTACTATGTACGGAGCTTTAAAAATCGGAATTGTACAGAACTATGTATTAAATAAATGTAAAAAACAAAACGATTGATAAAACACTGAACTATAAATCACACATTTATTCTCGTAGATATTCCTAACTAATTTTAATGTAAGCCCTAAGTTTAGTAAGTTGCCTTCAGTGGCGCTAAACTACAGGGCACGAATTTTGAGAGTACAACAAATGAAAGCCTCGATTCGACATATCCAAATCCTCATTTCCGTCCGTCACCGAGTAAAGCACAAAAGGTTTCGTCGCGCTGGTTGTACTCACCAAACCAAGTCCACAGAAACGATCGCTAGGCAATGCCGCCCCGTTTTGCGTCGGGTTCGGTATGATAATGAAATCAGTTGTACAGTTTTGACTTTGTACCGTTAATGTGGCGAGCAGCGATGGATCAATAACGCCCACATCATTGGTTAATGTAAACGAATATGCATCGGAGCTCACTTGACTCCACGTAATTGAACAAATGCCTGCACCCATGCGCACACAAATGCCATACTGCTGATTGGCGATTTGCCGCGTGCCTGCCACACCAATTGAATTTGCAAGCGAGTTAGCAGCTGAGTCGTAGTTGAAGCTCGACACTGTTCCACTAGAATCCATGTAGTATTGCAGACAGCCCGATGGCGCTTGCGTGGCAGATGCGCAGGCGAGTTGTGCGATTTGAAATTGCCATTGGCGATTGAACGTGTAGCTATCAGATGTGGCGACGGAAATAGTGATCGGCGAGTCGCCATTGAAGTCCACATATACATGCTGGCCATTATTCTCACCACAGATTGTGGGCACCCTCGATCCACCCGTTATAGTAAGGGTGTCGGTTACACAAAAACCATCACCGTTCGGCGGCGCAATCGACAGCGATAGGAAGTCAATGCGCAGTTGACAGATATTACTATCGCATTTCGAGACAACAATTGTGCAACTGTATAAGAGTGCATGAAGAAAAGTTTATTAATATTCAATATATGTATATATTTGAGTTTCAAAGCGTAAGCAGGCTTACCGTCCGCCACCGGCATAAGTGCCTGGGTAGCCGGAGTTGTAAAAATACGTATTGTTGTAACTTGTTGAAGAGCCGCAACCCAGTTGATCTACAGATTGTAATTGAGTTTGGCAATTATTTTTAATTTGGCTTTTATGACTTCATACTAACATATGCAACACACTGCTTGTGTTGTAATGGTGCTGCAAGTGCCAGCCGCCACACCACCGTTATCACTGCATTCGCCACGCACCACACATGTGCCAGCCAGCTGATTGGCGCCCACGCAGACATCATTGGGAAAACGTCCAATTGTGTAGAAGGGAAACCCTGATTGGGAAAGGTTTTTAAGGGAACAGGTGTAATGAAATCGGATTAAACTGTTATATTTAAAAACTTGACTTAAGTCTGTAAATACAAACTCTTCTGTTGATCTCCTAATAATAATGTAGTAATTTTGTTTCAACAAATTTTAAACCACAGTCGCAATTGTTTATAAACTACCATTAACTATGTTATGATGAGTATGTATGTATATATTTACATGGGCTAACGGGTTTTTATCAACATCTAATTAAAAATTCCTTAAAGTATGCAATAAATTGTTACTTGCAAAAATTACCAAAAAACTCACAGAAACTGTTTCCTGATCTCATAATAATATTGATGTATGCATGAGCTCTGGTATCTAATAGTATGCGATCGGGAACATTTTACTTTTATATTCTAAAAACTAATGCACTGTTTAAAACCGCTATCTTTTTACGCTTAAGAGGGTATGTACACATTTGTTTGTTTAATTAATTGTCAATTCGTGGGATAATAATTGTTATAAATACATACTGACCAAAAAAAAAGTAAAATTAGGTCACACTTATGGTATGTAGTTAGCACTTCTGGATGAATTGCGCATAATTTACACATACATATGCACCATATGTACTTATGTCTGTCACAACGGAAATGGAGTAATGACCATAAAGGAGATAATGTTCAACCGACAACAGTGTTTGGAAGAGTTTTTTTTTTAAATTTATACGAAAACTTGTAGAGTAGATGTAGGTATGTATATGTACATATATGCATTTAGATTAATGGTACACTGGATGAGGATGATGAATGCAGCGTTTGTAAATTATATAATAAAGTGAATTGTAAATCTATGCAAATGAATTTGTGTATGTATTTTATATGCGTGAGTTGGCTTTAGAATCGAATGGTATTGGTTAACACTCGCGTACACATACTCACATCTGGGAGATCTCGAATGTGAATGATTTTGAAGTATTTCATTGGTGGACATCAATGTGTCAATAGGTGTCTCTAATGAATTTTGAAATGATAATTCTCTGGGATACTCATTAATATCCTTACACATAACATAACCGATAATGCCCAGCGTTATCACTCCGGCGATTACAGAGACGAACGTCATTTTTGCAAAATATACTTCAATTTTGTATGAATATTCGTTTTATCACTTCGTTCTGATATATGTATATTTTACACAGTTCTCTAATTGTTAATATTTTTGTCAATTGAATATTCTTTGTGTACTTATGGCCACAAAATCACTAATAAACCCGAGCAAACAGCTAAACCGAACGTGTGTTCTGCAAGAATGCTCGAAAGTAAATGTCTACTCCAGCATTGGTGAAGCAGATATGATRTGTCTGCAAGAATTTGCCCGTGCTCTGAGTAATGGCATCCAAACTTCTGCTGCTGTCGCAAAGATGCTAATTACAATTGATCACGCTCKGTAGTGTTTGCGTGTGTGCATGAGTAAACCTATGGGAAGTTCTGTTACTTCATTGGTTGGTTGATGGTAGCAATTGACCGCGATTGATCGGTCAGAATATTAATATATGTAGTTCAACACGAATGTTTGTTGATATTCTGCTTTTAACACAATCGTGATGAAATTTTCACTTATTTTGTTGTTACCTTGTACACTAAAAAGTAATTTGATGTATTTATCTTTTCGGTTATGCCTGGAATCGTGTTAGCTACAATGTAAGCTATGCTAAACTGTTATTTGCGTAACGGTTTTAAATTCACTTGCTTTATCAGAGAGGTATGACAAGTTGATTATGACATTTATTCTTAAATACCGTGAAAGTAAATATCCGTTATGGTGCCATTTCTACGTTTCTCAAAAATAAACTTAAATGAAGGAAATATGGACCGTTAGTCACACGTCCCATGGTTGGTTTGATTGTTCTTGAAAGTTGAAAGAATCCTTTCCTCTCAAGTTTGATTTTTAATTTCGAACAAAGTCATATAAATGGTGGCAGCATTATGACTTCTTAATTTTTACTTACTATAAATGTATAAATGTAAATGTATTACAGCAAGTGTGTACATTAATATTTATTATATTTTTGGTAATTAAAGTTGAAAATAAAACAATAAGCCATTGTTTGTAGGCACAAATAAATGTGTGTAAAACTATGTTTGTATTTAAGAATAACGGGCGCTACATGTAATACAGCTCCTTTAACTGCACATTTAAAACTCCGGTAATGCATCAAATCTATTCAATTTCAACGACAGCGCCAGCTTTGCTTAAAGCTTCCTTGAGTTTTTCTGCTTCATCTTTGGGTAAATCTTCTTTAACAATAGTTGGCGCACTTTCAACGAATTTCTTAGCTTGCACCAAATTCATACCCTCCAAGAGATTCTTTACCTCCTTGATTAGCGCAACTTTTTGTTTCTCATCGAATTTCAGTAATTTCACTTTGAATGCGGTCTGTACCTTCTTTGGAGCGGCTGCTTCCTCTTCTTCTTCGGTAGAAGCTGGACGTGCTGGGCCGGCAGCAAATTGTGGCACGAATGATGTTTCAGGTAAATTTAATTTCTTTTTAAGCAACGCACTAAGCTCAGAAACTTCAAGTAAGTTGAGTGCCGCAATACTGTTGACAAGGCTGTCCAATTTTGGATTTGGTGGCTTGGCAGCACCCTCTGGAGGCGGGGGTACCAATTTTTCAGGGGCACCAGCCGCAGCAGGTGCTGCTTCGGCCGAGTACATGCGTACACGGCTGCTGTGTCTGGTGAATTGACGCAAAGCGACGCGTGTGAAGTTCATATTGCCAATTCTGAAATACGTAAACAAATTTAATAATGTGTTTTATTAATTAAATCACATTTAGAACTCACAAAAATTTTTGTTATCACAACGTGCCTGTTATATGATCGTCGGTGTTTTAGCTGTCAAAGCCCGTGTTTTCGTACCAATTGTTCACAATAGATGTTTGTTCAATTGTGAATGGAATATCTGAACGAATGAGGTAACAAAACAAAAGGTAAATTTGTCAACATAAATTACTGTCGAATTAAGTGAACAAAATTAGTAAAGCATACATATCGTTGAAATATAGATTTTTTATTAATAAAATTATATTAACATATAGTATAAGACATGTCTGAAGAGGTAGAGGTAAAGTTGGAAAATATCGACGAAAAGTCWAATGTTGAAGGAGAGAGTGGGAAATTATTTTTTAAAAAGAAACCACGGAAGAATCTACGACAAAGGAAGCCCTCGAATTCTGATGAGGATGATAAACCTGAAGAAGATATGTATGCATGTCGAGAATTGTTTATTTCAACCCGAAACTATTAAATGATTCAATTTCAGCGCTGTTTTGGAAGAAATTAAGGAACGTCAAAAGTTGCGCCAACGTCCCCATGGGGTGAGTGTCATTGGGTTGGCATTGGGCAAGAAATTGGCACCCGAGGAAGAAATCACCATAGTAAGGTTTTGGTTTCGTAAATAGGTTGTTTAATAACAGTTATTTATTAATATCGCAGAAAGATCCATTTAATGTAAAAACCGGTGGATTGGTGAATATGCAGGCGCTGAAGTCTGGAAAACTGAAAGAACCAGAAGATGCCTATGACGTAGGCATTGGAACACAATTTTCAGCAGAAACAAATAAACGTGATGAAGATGAAGAAATGATGAAATATATTGAACAGGAATTGCAAAAAAGAAAAGGTTTAGCCAAAACAAATGCTGAAAACGAAGAAGGGGATCCAAATAAGTATTTAACGCCGGAAGAAGCAGCCTTGCTCGCATTACCCGATCACTTGCGTCATTCCTCCTCCAATCGTTCCGAGGAAATGTTGTCCAATCAAATGTTAAACGGTATACCCGAAGTCGATTTAGGCATTGAAGCGAAAATTAAAAATATTGAAGCGACTGAGGAGGCCAAACAAAAACTACTTCAGGATCAAAAGAATAAAAAAGATGGTCCGTCACAGTTTGTGCCAACGAATATGGCTGTAAACTTTATGCAACATAATAGATGTAAGTATATATATATATATATATAATTATATATCATACTGATTTTATTGATTTAATTCATAATTAAATGAATATATATTTTGCAGTTAACATAGAAGATAGCGAACAAAAACGTCGCAAACGTGATTACACAGCTCAAAATACACAACAACAACAACATCAACAACAACATCAATCACATTCTCAAGGCGGCGTAGTAAATGGCGTCAAGCGTGCCACAGATGATTACCATTATGATAAATTTAAGAAACAATTTCGTCGTTATTAGATAAGATCATTTTATAATAGCATTAATTATAGTAAAAATTTTAAACAAGATATACTCCTGAACTAATAAATGGAGCAAAGCATTTTAAAATGCGTATACATTCATACTAATTTAATATTTCGGTTTCAATAATGGGTCTACGTAGATTTTAGATGTAGATCTTTTTTTGAAAATACTTGAAATGTTCTAACTAATGTATTAAATTGACAGTATCTAATTATTCTGAATTGAAGTATAATGAACTTTGAACACCAGCTAAAATTTAAGTTCGATGTTAAAGCATTTCACTTCCTTTCTCTGTTGAAATAATTTCATTTTTTAATCCATTCTACATCTATATAAATATGTAATCTATCTATTTACCTCAACACTTTGCATGYACATACATATAAATGGTCACGCGTATGATTTAATGTTAACGACAAATCATCGGTCCATCAAAACACTCCAACGGCTGGGCAATATAATTTGCTTTATACTTAAATATGGTATGTATCGCAACGTTCGTTGTCACATACACAACCACACTCGCGGTCCACCTCCACCACTAGCAGTACATTTACCCAGTTCATTGTGTTCAAACGATGCGGCTTAATAAGTTATTCAAGCATTACCAATTCGTGCCACAAATCGAATTAAGTACGTGACTCAAATGTGAMGCTCGCCAAAGCCAATAAACAGCAACTAATGTAAATACAAATAAAATAACAACAACGAAAGTACTAAAATAAAAATCAACCTTAATGTTTGGTGCAAATGGCAGGAGGCGCGACGGACATCATTGCGCTGCTCATCTCATCAACATTTCGTAACAGTTTGGCAACTAATTAACGAAGGTTTGCTGGAATTTCAAATTCGAATTGCCACGCATACATACACACATACACTTTCCCACACCATTTAGTATTACTGGGCCTTTTTGTCTGTTTATGCATCTAATTTGCTGCCAATAAATWACATTTTTAATTTATGGTTGGAAAAGGATCCTGGAGCTTAAACATCTTACATTATGAAATTGAGGTCGTGATGCTTCCTCCAGTTACTTTTTAGCGGGCAAAGAATTCCTAAATATTTGCACGTATCGGTCACTACAATAAARTTATTAAGTAAAGGGCCAGGAATTTATGCTTGCTGAACTGAATTAGACTAACTGTTAGTGAACTGATGAATGAAAGTGAAAAATTTTTTTTTGTCTGACTATACTCTGTTTGTGCAATTAAGCATGTACCAGATTATTTATTACTTACTGGTCGAAAGAGGGTTAGACCGCTGAAATAACTGTCCTTGACCAGATAAAATCCTAGTCAATTCTAGTATCGTAGACCGGATAAAAAGCTGGTTTCGGCTACTTAGACCCGACTGTAATTTTTCGAAAATAGAATAAGCAATTCTCAAACTGCGTCTGTCGATACAATTAATTTRGTATTGTGATTGCTACAGCGCTATAAAACCTTTATAACCCAGGGTTAAATTTAACATCTGAGTCGAAACCTCTTGCGCGAATATAAATCGATCGCGTCCAATTCCGTAGATTAGATAGGCATAGTCGAGTTAACAACAGTGCGCCAGTCGTTTCTTCTTTTTGCAAGGTGGCGCCAATTGGAGATTCCAACCGAAGCCAGGTCTTTCTTCAGCTGGGCTTTTCAATGGAGTGGAGGCCTTTCTCTTCCTCTGCTTTCCGCGACGAGTACTGCGTCGAATACTTTCAGAGTTGGAGTGTTTTCGGTCATTCCGACAACATGACCTAGCCAGTGTAGTCACTGTCTTTTAATTCGCTGAACTATGTCAATGTCGTCGTATATCTCATGCAGCTCATCGTTCCATCGAATGCGATATTCGCCGTGGCCAATGCGCAAAGGACCATAAATCTTCCGCAGAACCTTTCTCTCGAAAACTCGTAACGTCGACTCATCAGATGTTGTCAGCGTCCATGCCGCTACGCCATATACCAGGATGGGAATTATGAGTGATTTATAGAGTTTGGTCTTTGTTTGTCAGGAGATAATTTTACTTCTTAATTCCTTACTCAGTCCGAAGTAGTTATTCAGCGTTGGATTGGCTGAAATAGTTTTTGCTGTTAATGCTGATTACAAAATAGACGAAATTATATACGACTTCAAAGTTATGACTTTGAACAGTAACTTGGGAGTCAAGTMGCGAGTGCGACGACTGTTTGTTTGATGACAGGCGATATTAAGTCTTGCCCTTGTTCACTACCAGACCCAACTGCTTCGCTTCCTTATTTAGTCTGGAGAAAGCAAAACTCACGGTTGACACCAGAAGTTGTATTTCAAGTGCGCGCCATTGATGAGCAGCTCCTTGAAAATGTGCGCATTCAGCAGAGCCAAGAGAAAGTTGTAGAGCAGAAGCAGTGGCCTGAGCTGAAGGGGTTTGCGTCTGCGAAAATGATTAAAGTGATTAAAGTGTTGTTGTATTGAGCTGCGCTCTTTTGCTAGTTTTGCTAGTTTGTGTTTGTGCCACCTTTGCATCCATTGCGGCAGATAGCGCACCAACAGCAGGTACAAGGTCACCAGCGCCAAGACGTCAGCGAATGATTCCACCAAAAGCCACGTCTGGGTGCGCTTGTCCGCCAGGTGGGCCTAGGGAAAGTTATGTCGTTCAAATTGAAGAGTCGGAGCAATAACATTCTTCTTAGTTGATTTTAATTTTTATTATAATTTACCAGACCCATCTGCTTCGCTTCCTTATCCAGTCCGGAGAAAGCAGAACTTCTTGTTACACTTCTTTTGCCAATGTTTAATTCAATGTTCATCCTATGGCAACCAAAGTTATTCATTGATACCTCAATTCAAGTGTCAATTCAAGTTTTGAAATAGTTTAATATGAAGACTCTGAAGATTAACGGTTTTGAAAATTTTCTCACTTTCTATAGGCACAAAGTACATACGTACAGATGTACCAACATCCAATCTTCTTGCTAAGCAGATGAACATTATAAGCGTGAAGATATTAAAATAAATTGTGTTTTTGAGAAAATCAAAGGAGCGTCTGTAGATGCATGCGGCTAGACAGTCGACTACCCATTTCTYTGCTGCGCCCTGCAACCTCTTGTTGCTGGCAGACTCTGCACGTGGCGTATGAATTTCTGCTGATTTGTGCTGATTTGATTTTCTTATAATTCTTCTTACTTAGCTTGCTAAAATTGGGCGAGCAGGGAGCCACAAACTACAAGAATCGTAGTCTAACGTGTCTACATAAATATAAATGTACGTATTTATGTAGTTGTATGAGTGGCGTTGTAGTGCTTCGTGCGCCAACGAAGGTCAAAGCGCAGCTAATTAGATTTTTGTTAAGCTGCAATCATTGTTGTAACTTCATTTGCGCCAACGTCATCACCATTATTTTTCAACGCCTTCAATTCTGGCTTCCTTGGCTCCTTACATTGCTGCCAAACACTTTCGACGCTGGGCATTGTGCTGCGCTCTCGTTGGGCATCTCAATGGCAATAAAACACGTTCACACTTTTGGGTGTCGATGTTCTTATGTTGAACCTGTAAGGGTGTTGGTGTGTACAGAAGTGCGTTAGGTGCGGGATGTATTGAAGGAAATTGAGAACAAGTGATGCGTTAGATATTTAATTATGTTTATTTCTTTTTGTTTGATATGTTTTCACATAAAATTGGCTAAACAAGAAAAGTAAGG